TGTCTAAACTATAGTTTTTCCCGTGTTTATGGTATTGTTTTTCCAGATGTTTTATGACACTAATGCGTAAGAATTTTGAGCAAGCGAAGTTTTGAAATCCAAATACAAATTTTACGATGTTACTTGCCAGATGTTTTATTGCACTGACAAAAAAAGGAAAAATGTTTCGCATTCCCGCACATTCCGCCCGCCATCATCACTTCTAGTGATGATTATTTTTCATTTTCTGAGATTGGGAGAACTGCTAGCTTGTGTATGGGCCATTTGACGATCGTTGTTGCTGTTTTTACAGTGACTACTCTGGTTAAGCCGTCCTTGCCGGGTGGATATTTATTACCCTTGCCAGAGGCCATTTACATGGTGGAAATCGGTTATTGGTGATGAGTACTAGTGAACCAACCTTTATGTTGTTTAGTAGATGGTGCCATTTAGATATTGATTGCTGTCGTCGTAAATAACAAGATGGCCAGTGTGACCAGAATTGCTGGACACGTTGTTGAATAAATTGCCAACGGCGCAATCCTGATATTGATAATACGTCTAAAGATGGTTCAGTTATTGTAGTAAATGGACATCCGATTAGAAAATGACCTGGAGTTAATGCAGCGTAATCACCTGGATCGTCACTCAAGGGCTCTAGTGGTCTTGAGTTTAAAATTACTTCAATTTGAGTCAAGAGAGTCGTGTTCCTTAAACGTAAGTAGCGTTTCTCCAACTGTGCGCCGTAAATGAAATTTTGTAAACTTTACTACTGCTTCCCATTTTTCTCCCATGTGAAACGCAGCTGGTGGGTTAAAATTCTATCGAACATTGTCTTGTGAAGTTATCGTTGCAATTTTATGATGCTCTTCTGATCTCCGTGAGAATAACCTTTTCAATTCCTTGTTTGCTCCTGCAAACGTGGTGCCACAATCTGAACGCACGTGTGTGGGATGCCTCTGCGAGAAGAGAATCTCCAATAGGTAGCTATGAATCCATCTGTTGAATAGTCGCTGACCACTTCAAGGTGTACAGCAGATAAAGAAACATACAAAAACACAAATCCATGCCTTTTGGGTCTTTGCGCCTCTACTCTTCCATGTTTTCAGGGTTAAAGGATCAGCATAATCGACACCCGTATACGCAAATGGTATTGATGGTGTTACTCGCGATAGCGGTAATTGTCCCATCATCTGTTCAGTACAGATTCCTCTCTGTCGTGCACATATGGCGCATCGCAGAGTGTGAGATTTTACCGCTTATCGGCTTCCAAGAATCCAATACTTTTGTCGTGTATGCGCTAGGGTGAGTTGGGTGTCTCCATGCAGTGTCCGTTGATGAGCCTGGGCTATCACCAGATCCGTAAATCGTGATTGGCGTGGCAATATTGCAGGGTGTTTTTGTTCGTATGCGAGAGAAGAATTCATTAGCCGTCCTCCTACTCGAATGACTCCTTGCGAATCGATATAAGTTGTTAAGCGATGGAATGCGTGTCCATTTTGCAGTTTATGTTTTGACTCAAACATCTTGATTTCATGGGAAAAATAAACAGCCTGTGTTGTTTTTATCCAGAAAATTCGTGCATTTTCTACCTCCTGTGAATTTATGGGCATGTCGGGAGAAGGCTCACGCCTTTTCCTTAAACGTTCAATGAATCCAGTGCATGCAGCTGTGATTCTCAATATCTGATGTAGTTTTGGATACTTATAAATTACATCCCAGTGATAGTCAATGGGTTTTATGATAGCTACAAGAGAAATGCCAGGGCGTGTTCATACGCTTCGTCATTCTGTGTTGGCTGCTTAGGCCACGATTCTGGTGACTGCATCCACGATGGTCCCATCCACCACAAATTATGATCCTTGATTTGCACGGTGGTCAATCCTCGCGAGGCACAGTCAGCAGGGTTGGAGGTTCCGGGAACATAGTTCCATTGAGAATCGGATGTGATCTCTTAAATTTGTGCTACTCGATTTCTCACAAAGTCCTTCCAACGTGATGCGTGGGATTTTATCCATGCGAGGGTTACTCTCGAGTCTGTCCATAAATATGTAGCGGTTACTTTCATGTTCAGGGTATTCTTAACATAATGCATGAGTTTTGATAGTAGCAGTGCTGCTGCTAGCTCCAGCTTGCGAATGGTAAGTCTCTTCAACGGAGCTACCTTCGTCTTGGAGCATACGAAGGCAACCTTCTAAGCTGGATTGTGGACGACAAGATAGATGACTGCTTACATGGCCAATTGAGAAGCATCAGAGAAACCATGCAGTTCGACATTTGATGTCTTCTCTGTGTTGACCATCGTGGTACCTTAATATTGTTTAACTCTGACAGATACTTTTTGATGGTGTTCCATCTATTTGAGATTTGGTCTGGCAGTGGATCGTCCCATTTGATAGTGTGTAGCCATAATTCTTGCAGCATTATTTTGGCTCTTATTACCACTGGTGAGACGAAACCTGGTTGGTGACCATGTACACTGTTATTGTAAATGTGAAATTATCATGTTGTGGATTCCATTGTAATCCGAGAATTTTGATCTTGCAGTCATTGAATATAATAGTTTCTGGCTCTTGACTGGGTTCTGCCCGTGTGATAGTGAGGACGTCCCTGTGCGTCGAATGCCATTTTGTTAACGGGAAACCGCCCGCCTTCAGAGGTTTATATATATGTGTATACCTCTGTATACAAATTTTACGATGTTTCTTGTCAGATGTTTTATTGCACTGACAAAAAGGAAAAATGTTCTCGCATTCTGGAACACTTAGCATAGATTATTTCATATATTCTATAAAATTAAATATAATGTAGATGATTGCACTATAATATAAGCTAATGAAACACTACTATATAATTTATAATATATTAAGATTTATATGAAACGAGACAATAAATTATCGTATAATTCTAGGGTTATAGTATGTTATAGATATATTAAGTTATAGTGCGAAACATTAAAAACATTAGTTCACAGAAGATATAATAGGTAAGTCTAGTTGTAATCTCTGAAAACTCAAATATTAGACCAGCAGAGTGATCCTGTCATAAGATGATTAGTAAAACTTACTTTCTATTACTTTCATGCTTGACCTTTTTATGAGCATTGTAGGTTTTTTCTATATTATAGACTCACGTTTATATATGTGCAAAGTAGAAAAGTATGTTTGCTAAACTTTTTTTTTAATGAAAAGAGAGAAAATGTGGTTAAACATTATATTGGTATTTTTAATTACTTAAAAAGAGAATGAAGTAGAAGTGCAGAGTATGAGGTGTCAGCTTACCGTTAAAAATATTTATATATTACATAATTTTTTATAATAAGAATATCTCTGTTACAATATAATATAGATAATATAATATAGATTTTTAAAGCATGCGACTTGACATTTTCATTATAATTTAGAAGTTGCTTTTAATATAAATTAAAAACAATAAAATAAATAAAAAAAAAATTAAATTCAATGAATAAATATTTTAAACCTTAAAACTTAAAAACATTAAATAATGTTCAAAATATGTAAGTCATTATCATAATTTTATTGATAATTTTGTAAAATACAAATACAATTTTTATAAACTATTGTATAAGCTTGTAGAACAAATAAATATAAAAGGTCTTTTTATGTAGCATTTGGCTATATTATTTGTTCACAACTATCCTACAGTCTATAAAAATTGTATATTGCATGGATCTGGCATGTCCCATGATATTTATAAATTAAAACTCTTGCAAAATATTTTATTATAAATAATTAGAATCAATTTTAAATTACCATTAATACATAAATAATACAAATATCATATATTTTATTCATTAAATGATCTTGTTCTTTAAATAACAGTTGCAATAAATGTAACGATAGCATCTTTTAAGAACGTAATAAGAAAAAAATCGTTTATATTATTATTTATCTAAATTTTTTGTTTCTATTTTGGTTGGGATTGTTCTAAATTTATGATAAACAATCATTGTTCATTTTATCATTAAGCAAATTTTTTAAATGATGGTTACTGTCTGGGATCAGACTGAAAATCTCCGTGTGATGTTGGTTGGAGGTGTTGCTGGCAAATTGAGGAGGCAAATGCAATGATTCAATTCTACAAATAGTATATCTTTGTCTTTCCTTTATTAAATACAATAATGTAATAATAGTTAATGGTTATAGAAGTGTGTAAATGGAGAGTATGAGTGACTTATGTATTAGGTTTCTTCAATGATTTTACGTGTGTGCATAATGAGCCGCCTCTGTTTAGTCCGTTGCTGATTTAATTATGCGTGATGAGCCGCCGCTGCTTATCTATGTTGAGATACGTTGATATATGCTTGAGTTATACTTTTGTTAATTTCATTCTTAAATTATGTTTGCACTAACACTTTTTGAATATAGTTTAATGTATTTTGATTGTTGTGGCATCACTATTGGTTTATTAGATTGCTTGTTACTTGATGATTAATTTGTATAGCTACAGTGAGGGATGACTGTAGTTTAGATGTTTGATGATAAAAAAGTGAGTCCGTTGTGATGACAGCGTAATTTATAACTAGCAAATGAGCTGCGCATCAAGCGCTGCTCAAATATTTTTCGTAGAAGCGGTGCGACACCGGCAGTGCACTGGTGCCTGTTGCTATGCCGAATTATAATCGTATATTCGAGTTTTCAGCATAGGACATTTCTCGAATTCGCTACATTGTTTTGTTTTCTCTCACTTTTGAATTCCGCTTTAAACTGTTTCAATCCCGAACAGTTGCCTACTTGTAATTCCTATTTCTACGTTAAGATTTGTTACCTATTTTTTTCATATCTTGATACAATATTGTTTATATACCAAGTTTATGATAAATTAAGCAATATATTCAAAATTAAAATTTTGGCTCTAATGAGCTTACGAAAAACTATAAATTACATTTTCAAATATAACTATCAAGGAAATTATAAATTCAGGTATTTCTCATTTTTTAGTTATAAAGTTTATTATAATTCTAGAACTATTAAATATAAATTATTATATTTCTTTTACAGGAAAAGTGGATTATATCTAGAAGTAATGAAAAGTAAGTATTAAATAAGTAATATATTTAACAATTAATAATTTATTGACAAATGTACAAATTATTTAAATAAAAAAATTTCGAATAAAAATATATAGCAACTATAGAGCTAAACAGATTATTAGTAATTTCACTTTATTTCTTTTAATAAACTCGTTTCGATAACATCAAACATGTATGTTTCACTTAGTTAGAGAGAAAATATTTATGTACATTGTTTTTGATAATTTCTTTTATGAATTTTCTAATGTCTCTTTTATAGAATTTATGAAATTTTAAATTTGATAAAATGAGTCTATTTTTCATTCAAGAACGATCTGATAGATTATAGGAATAATTTTTTTTAGTGTCAACTATATACAATATGTAATATTTTAAAGTGTACAGATAGATGTATTATAAATTTAAAATTGTATTCAAAATTATAAAAAAAAGCTACAATTTAAGAAGAAAATTACATGTTTATATTTGTAAAATATATTTTAATTAAATAAAATTCAAATTATTTTTATGCAGGTATAATTACAATTATAAGATGATGAATATTATAATTAAGATAGTTAAAAACAACTCAATAATGTCCGAAAAACCAAATAACATAACACGCGTTATATTAACTCGTGTCTGATTAATTTTAGTTAGTTAATAGTATAAAAAAATTAAGGGAAATGCAATTAATTTGTATTAGAATAAGAAATCACAATCGCTATTAAATTATAAATAATGCCGATAAATAAATATTATAATAAAGTGCTAATACATGAAATTAAAAAAATTAAATAATAAAAGACATGCATTTATGTTTATTTATTCAGAATATTTAATGAATGTAGGTGATAATTAATGAATAAAAAATATTCAAAGAAAAAGTATACAACAAACTGATTTCAGTATAAATGCTGTTTTATTGTTATATTTACTGTTCAGAATGAAACTACTCAGTAATGAAAATTAATTGCTTTATTTAATATGATTCCATTACATTTATATTTATTATTAATGCGCAATATTTGAAGTATTCGCTACGAAAACTCTATGAAATTGAAGCCTTATTCTGTATCCGTATAGCAACAAAAGAAGATTCTCGAACCTACTACAGCTTGATTTCCGAGAATTTGCCAGAATTTCCACGAATTTCATACTAAATCTACGAAATCATATATAAGGACGTACAGACGACGAAGCAAAATAACATTGTTGCAAATTTACAAAATACATTGATGCAATAATCTATAATAAATTATAAATTATTATTTAATAATTTATTTAAATTAAACAGTATTGTGCAACATTTTTGATACATTGATAAGAAATACGAATTACTATTACATACGATTTTTATTTTATGTAACAGATATTGTATATCATACCAATGTGTACTTAATTGTTTAGAAATAGAACAAAATAATCTCTATATTAATTGAATTTAACTTTTAATTGATATTTACTTAAATTACGGTATCGTTGATAGTTAAACTGAATAGTATTTGTGAATATCGATTGTTTGAAAACTTAATAACTTATATAAAAATTAAAAACTATATTATTAATGAAACTATATTAAAACTATAAAAAACTATATTATTACTATATTATTAATTATATATAACTATATAATTAATGAAAATCTATTTTAAAATATAAACTTCTACAATAAATAGAAAAAGTATTCATGAAGCTTAAGATATAACATTCTACACACAAAAATAGTGCATAAGCTTTGAATCTTCATAACTTTTAGTGTATTTGTTTGAGATTCTGATAACCTTTCGCGAGTGTCAGATATCTGGAAAGATTCAAGTCGTCAAACATGTGCGAAAAACCGTTGTAGCTAAACATCTAGGAAACTCCGAGTTATTAGACATCTGGAAAAACCAAGCTCAATAGACATGTGGAAACAGTCGTTACATGCAAAAATTTCTGATCTAACGATACACAACGCATCCACTGTTGTCAAGTCTATCCATGCTACCGCTTGGATAAGCCAAGCGAAGGCGTTTCAGTCAAGAGCTCCTCGTGGCTTTCAAGCCACGAGAAGACTACTCTCACTGATAGAGGCGCTCTTGCTGATGTAGCCACTATCGAAGTCAAAGTCTTTCTGAAGACAAAAGACACAGGCGTCCTCGCTTGGTCGCGCCACCAAAAGGGGCGCACTCTGATTTAGACGCTTGGGACCACGGAGCGCTTTGATTGAGGATGCTAGCACATAGGCGTTCTTTAAGTGGGAAATCAGGGTCAGAGGTCTTAAAAGGGGGACGATACAAACAGGGTTGCTGTTCACGTGGAGAAGCCAAAGGAGAAGGAGGCTCTAGCCAAGGAAGAAGTAGTGATGAAGTCTGAAGTAAACCACAGATAGAAGGAAGACGCACCAATTCTCCTGTGCTGTTATTGAAAGGTGTTGACGCTATTTCTTTCATACCACGAAAGGGCCAAACTATCCGAGATACACTCCCGCATTTCGAGCTTACATAATAATTGCCGATCCTTGTAAAATCGGCAACAAGTCATCACCATGAACAAGGAGCATTTGTGATGGCGAACTATTCATTACTGGATTATGTCAAGGCTACTGCATCACTGTGAGTAAACAAAGTCTGTGCTACTCAGTTATTTATTCTTATAAAATCAACAACATCGTCATCATAAAGGAGCATCTCGTGAAAATAACATTTTCACTCTAGGATCAATCTGAAATAACGGTATCAACGTGATTAAATGTAGTATACACTCTTCCATCATATATTTCCAATATAACAATAGTGTCGTTTAGAATTCTAGCCATCCAATAGTCTGAAGTCCGAGATAGTTGGATTAGACTATGATCACCGGTGGGGAAAAGAAGTGCGGGCAAGTGGAAGAGATAGCGTATTTATTCAAGAATTATATACATTTGCTAATCGTGCTGTTTCTTGCCTTTTATTTTACAAACTACGCAATAATGATGAATCTAAGATGGTGTTGAGAATCGGTGAGATCTTATAGTTCGGTAGTAGTTGCCACGTGGCTTTAGTATGCACTACATATGGAGGTAGGAGTTCGTACATCTCCAGATGCTCTTGATATAGTATGCTTGGTAGTAAATTATTACACTGAAAGTAAGAGGTCCTAAATTTCTGGTACCTCTTCGTGTAATGCCACTTGATGGTAACGTATTGAGTTGTCCTCACTGGAGAGACTATGTTGGCTGCACACTGCGGGAGAGGTGCTTTACTGGCTTGTGATAGATATATAATTATTAATAGTTCTTTGCTGGCTTGTGATAAGTGTACAATTATTAATAGGCCTTCGCTCACTTGATGGTTGAACTGGTATTAAATATAATGGCTTCATTATTTTGGCGTAACTAGCTAATAGCTGTAAAGTTTGACTGATTGATGTAAATCAATGAGTGTAACTGAGTGATTGGTGTATGGAAGAAAGTATTTGCTGGCTAGCGTAATGACTGATCACTGATTGACTGAATAATTTACAATGAGCCTCTAGGTGTAGCGGGTTGCTCTTAAATAACTGGGCGGCATATCTGCGTTATAATAGATATATTACAATATATTAATTTCAGAAACATGCAAACGAGTCTTATAAAATAGCAAATAATAATACCTGACTAGAATAATGAAGCAAGGTTTTCGAATTTCTTCTATTTATTATATATAATTATTATACTATATTATACTATATTATATACTATTATTATATATATATATATATATATATATATATATATATATATATGAAAGTGTTTGATAAATTTAAATATTACAAGATATAAAGACAATTTCTCATAAACACATTTTTCTCTATTTCCTTGAACAAATTTAGTATAAATATTATAGAAAATTTTAAATTAATTTTTATAAATTTCCAATTTGCTGAAGAAAGGATATTTACTTAATATAAATTATGTATTACGAACACTATCGAATTTATTAATAAATATCACTATTATTTTATCTAAAATATTGCTTTTAGAAAATGTTTACTTTTATACTACAAACTCAAGTGGTTGATTCATAGAGGTTTTGTACAAGTATTAAAAAATCCTTCGATGCAGTTTTTACAACTCTTACAAAAACTCGTAAGTATTATTTTTAAAGGAATATTTTACAAGTTTTATAAGGTTTATTATTTTACTATTTTTTGTTATAAGTAAGAACTATTTATTTCGTTAAATTCATACAAATATAAGTAAATATCAGATAAACCAATAAAATATAGATACACATACACACTTTCCCACATATATAATAATATGCATTATATAAGGCCAATAATATATCTGATTTTCAAGCTAATTATATTTAATAATTAAATGTTCTCTCATGTGTCTAAAAACATTTATATTTAGTAAAATAAAATATTGCTCTATTTTGTCATAATTGTTTTATATCATTATAAACATATCAAATCATACCAACATAAATAATAATTAAAAAATAATGAAAAAACTTTAAAACTTCTAAAACATTAAAACATTAAAACTTCTACACACATACTTACACATATTTCTTTTTTTTCTTTCTCATTATCAATAAATTTATTTAATAACGAATGAAGACTATAAATTTCGAAATAAATGAAAACTTCGATATAAAATTTAAAAAATATTTTCATCATTTCAATAATTTTTTTTAATTTTTATTTCATGCAAATTAATTTTTAAATTAAGTGTGTACTTTCGTTTATATTATAAATTAAAAGGCTATCTATTATACTTATTTCTTCAATTATCAACAAAAATTTTCTTGTATACATTCAAATGTTAAAAAAATAATAGCTAAAAATGGATTCATTTTCTACTATATTTGAAATAATAAATAATTACTTCAATTTCAGAGTATCGGAATAATAGCTGGATTATGCTTTTTTGGAACTGTTAATTCAGATCAATTAGGAATTCAAGCAGTTCAAGGTGTAATATTTATTTTAGTATCGGAAAATACTTTTTTCCCAATGTATAGTACATTGTCATTAATACCTCAAGAATTGCCTTTATTTGTTAGAGAATACAGAGCAGGGCTATATTCATGTCATATTTATTATATGGCTCGGATAATTTCTTTAGTGAGTATTAGTTTAAATAAATATAAATTAAATTCAATATAATTATTCAAATATAAAAAAATATATTTTGTTTGTTTATATCGCTTGAAAAGATTTTTTAACCTTGTTTGAAATTGGAGCATTTATTCGAGACCTTCGGTTCTCGGAAAGTTTACATTTTCTCACGCCGAATTCCCGATTAGCCGAAAGCTTAGAATTCTCGAACGTTCTATAAGGCTGCTTAGCTTTCGCGTAGCAACGTCGATCGAATTCTCAAATCTTCCAAGGCTTTGCTTTCGCAGAATTCTCGAATAGTCGAAAGCTTAGATTTCGATCATTCACGAAGTCAGTTTAGTCTCGACCGGTTACATTTGTTTACGCCGAATTCTCGACTAGCTGAAAGCTTAGAATTCTCGAATCTTTCAAGGCTTCGCTTTCGTAGAATTCTCGAATAGCCGAAAGCTTTGTCCCGAGCTAGTATTACTTGACGCATTGATATTTAAGGAAGCGTGCCTCAAGACTCTACGTAGTTAACATAAAGCAGTCATTCAGTACGTAGTGTCGGTAGTCATTCATTGCATAGTATCAGTTATTCACATGCTCTCTCAGTGCAGCCATTGCAAGGAACGCTCATTCGCTTTTCAAGTGCGCACGGTAACAACCAGTCAAGGGTTGACTGCCGTTCTAGAAAATAGTCGATTACATAAAACATGGTATCTGACCCTTCTACAGTCGAAGGTATATCACCCGTCTTTCATGAGAATAACTAGCGCTCAGATATTCCCATTCTTCTTACGAATATGTCCGATTCATCTTGCTAACTACCACACAGACATTCCCATACTCCCCTTACGAGTATGGTAGATTCTCCCTGCTAATCACTGCTAACTACTACTACCCCATTCCCATGCTCACCTTATGAGTATGGTTGACTCTCCTTACTGATCTTTACAACGTCAGCATAGAACGCAATAAACCATATTCCCCTTCAGAAAATATACAAAATCCACTGCTGATCCCCATAACATCATCAACGATATCGCCATCATTACCAAGAAGCAACCAGATCATTGTAATAGAATAATTAATAATTAATAATTAATCTCTCACAAGAATTGAACATAGAACTACAATAATGTACTTGTCAATAAAACAAAATCAACGAAGTCCTAAACGAAGTTTACGAAAAGAATAAGAATAAGAAGATACGAAAATTCTCCGTAAACGTTAAAGCCTTTGCCTAATAAAGCCTTAAAACTTATTCGCTTAGCAATTAAGGACGAATCTAAAACCGGCCAAAGCTTATTTTCCGAAAATGTGACTGAATTTCCAGGAATTGGAGCTATAGGGACAGGCGAAAAGGCTTCGACAATGTAACACCAAAGGTATTAGTGCTAGACACTAAATCTCCACGATCGTATATAAAGAGCGGTGCAAGTCGAAGAAAATCAATCTTGTTGAGTAAGTCCAAGTGAAATAGTGCATGTCACAACAGTTAAAAGTTCTACACTTCTGTCTACGGGAATCCATGGAAGGTATACTCATTTGTTTACATTATTTATTGCTGGCCAGCTAGCGGTGCGCCTTCCACAACTTGACTCTTGATAAACCGCATTAAGGGCGACGGTCTAGTCTGGCATCACCGGCAAGCTATTTATATCATTTATTATTATTGCGGCTCAGCGTCGACATTATCGGTCAGGTCTCTGCAACTTGATTCTTGTCAAACCGCTGAAGAGGGCGCCGATACTGTCTGATCCGCCCGCCCCGTAATTCATAACTAATGAGAGCACCTATTGGCCACGAGTCTCTCGGGAACTTAGCTTCGTAATTACTGTTACGTTTCGCTGGTACATTATAGAGCTGACAGATAGAGCTTAACTCCCATAATTACTGTTACGTTTCGCTGGTACAATAAAGTCATAAATAATAAAGTGCCTACAGTACAAAATGACCAGTCACGCCTTGCACTCCCGGACGACGTTTCACAGTTTATTGCCAACTGTTAAAATCACAACGAGCTCAACAATTCTCACAACGACCGGTAACAACATCTACCAATGTAACATAACCTTAAATAAAAGTCACTAAAAGCAATTGTGTTTACACAGAATTGATGTATTAACCTTTCACTCATCCCACCTCCTCTCCGCCATTAAACTGGTGATACAGTTTAATCCAATCACCTTGGTCTTCAGACCACATTCTGGTGCCTGGAATTCCAAATAGTACATATTTACAGCCCTTCCACATATGTTCTTTCCTAAACATCGCTAAGGCGAGAGATAAATAAGCTGAACTATTGAACTTGCCAGTTCGAGCCAGACACTAAACTTTGGAACAAACCTGTTGTTCAGGATTGTTCTACCCAACAATAAAAATTTTATTGTTTGTTATAATATAATTCCAATACGTTATATCTATATTAAGGTGTAAAATTTGAATTATTCGTGACAAAAATGCTCCATGTAAATTTAAGCCGTGTGCTATGTCCGCATAACAACAAAGGAAGATTCTCGAATCGACTAAAGCTTGCTTTCCGAGAATTCATCAGAGCTTCCAAGAATTACAGGCTAAATGTACGCAATCATATATAAGGAACACCAAACAACGAAGTAAATTCGTTTGGTTGAGTAAATCAAGTGAAATTAGTGCCAGTTATACCAGTGAAAGTTATACACGTCTAAGGGAAACCGTGTACGGTATACTCATTACTTACATTATTTATTCTATATTGCTGGCCAGGTATCGGTGCATCCTCTGCAAACGTGACAATAGTCAGATCGCATTGAGGGCGACGACATGGACTGGCATCTCCAGCAATTTGTCGATATCACATATTATACTTTGCGGCTCAGCGCCAACACTATCGGTCAGGCCTTTGAACTTAATTATTATCAGACCGCTAAAGAGGGCGCCAATACTGTTTGGTGGCCCTCGCCACACACTCATTACTGTGGCACAGTGTCACTATTATCGGTTACGCTTCTGCGACTTGGTTCTTATCAAAACATGGAAGAAGGCGTCGATAATCCCTTAATAGTTTCCACTACGAATTCACGAGCCGGACAACGCTCCGTAAAATCTATCGCCGAATTGATCACCTAAGCATTCACGAGCCGGACAATGCTCCGTAAAATCTATCACCGAATTAATCGCCCAAGAAGTTGCAAGCCCGACAAGGCTCTCCGGAACACCATTGCCGAATAAACTGTCTAAGGATTCGCGAATCGGAGATGCTCCTTCAAAGTAGGGACTAAACCGCGTACTCAGTACTACCAACACACCCTTAGCTTTGTACTCACGGACAACGCTCTATAACTTATGGTCAACTGTCTAATCACGACGAGCTTAACAATTCTCCACTAAGATCGATAACACCAACTACCACTGTAACAAAACTTTAAATGAAAGTCACTAAAACCAATTGTGTTTACACTGAATTGATGCATTAACCTTCACTTATACCCCCTCTCCCATCGCCATTAAATCGGTCGTACGATTTAATCCAACCACCTTGATCTACAATCAATCTGATGGCTGTAATTCCAAACACCTGTATTCACACGAATATTTGAGAATATTATTAAGATAATATTCATTCTGTGTAAAAAAAAAGTTATAAATCGGTATCTTTTTATATATATGATTTATTTATTTTCTAATATCTTATCGCTCTTGAATGTAATCATTTGGGGGAAAATCCCAATGGCTACCATTTCTAAGAAAAACCTCAATGGTTATCATTTCAAGGAAATTATTCAACCAACGGTCATAGCTTCTAAGAAAATTCTCCAACAGGGACAGGGAAAATTCTCCAATAAGGAGAATAAATATGCATTTTGTAAATTGTTTAAAAAATCAATAATGAAATTCATCTGCATTTTATTATAAGTGAAGATATTAGGTATCGTATAGTGAATATTAATTGATACTACTATTAATAAGATTACATAAATCTTAAAAACTAAAAATTCGTATACTTCGTAATACTAACAATTTGTAATATTAATAGTATATCAGTATTATAAACTGAGCTATATTTACCAATTCTTTAATAATTAATTTTTCGACAGTTTTGGTACAAAAATAAATTCTAATGCTGATCCAGAATCCTCTTAATTATATATTTTTTTTTAATAATGGTTGTTCTCTTTTTCAAATGATAACTACAAACTCATTAAAAATTATGCGGTATATTCACTATTATTTCATAGCACTAAATAATAGGATATTCCTAAAAGTACTATTTAATTAATGATCAAGAATATTACTAGCATAACTTTAATAATTTGAATAATAGAATAATATTTGTTATACATGTACATAAATATTAAAATATGAAAATTGGTAATAAAAGTAACAACAATATTTTATTGTTTTAGTTACCCGGTACTACAATAGAACCGATTTTATTTACGACTATAATCTATTGGATTTCTGGACTATTAAATAGTTTTAAAGCTTTTAGTACTACTGTTTGTATTGTTTTGTTAACAATGAATGTGTCAACAGCTTGCGGTATGATTTCTAATATTATCATTTATTATTATCGATTCAGTAAAGAATATAAATCTAAGTTGTATTAACGTTTATTTTGAAATGATGATGCAATGTTAATGTGCATTTACTGCGTAATTTAATTTGATATCATTTTAATTAATTGCAATTATATATCAATAACCAATGATTACTACTTGTCTGGGATCAGACTAAAAGCCTCCCGCTGATGGCGGATGGGGGCTTGCTGGCAAGTGGAATGGACAATGGAATAATTCAATACTGCCTTTATACGAGTTGATTTTCCCTTTTATTGAATATAATAAATAATGAATAGTTAATATCTATGAATATCGAATGAGTGTATGATAGAATAAATAAGTGAGAGTTTCTTCATGTAATATGAGTGATGATAATCTTATAAGTGTATTCTTGTGGTATGGTGCGTGATTGACGCCACCGATTGCCGCTACCGATACACTGGAGAGACCTGGGTGGTGGCGTTGGTGTATGACGTCACTGATGAGGAGAATTGATGTCGCCGTTGTCGCTACCGATGAGCTGGAGAGACTTGAGTGGGGCGCTGGTGTATGACGTCACTGATGAATGGCAATGATGCCTTGGTTTTGGTATTGTTGCTTACTTAGTTCACGGAGTCGTGTTTTAATGATTCGTAAGAACGTTTGTAATAGCGTAGCTTACGTGTATGGAATCTGAAGTTGATCTCTGTGTAAATGCCGTTAACTTGTAAAATTATAATTTGATCTTGACGATTGCTTGATTGAACTAGTAAGAGGATGAGACCGTCATGTGCAGCTCCTTAAATATTCTTGTATAAACAAGCTGCGTTGAAATTGTATAGGTGATCGTTGTTATGCCGATATTTATCGGGACGTGAAGAGGGCATAGCCTCGTAGAGTTCATTTGTTATTACATTTGAAATTATAGTAGTATATTCGAGTTTTTCTTTTAAAGTATTCTTTGAATTCGTTAGTCAGTTTTTACAAAACAGATGCTCGCGCGCTCATACCTCTTCCACTTTTTATTTTGCTTAGAAATTACTGCAATTCATAACAAATACTAGTCAAGCGCTATAATCGGATAAATAACAGAATAAACAGCATATATACCAGCCATATTCATATTGAATTATTATAATATCCCTTCCACTTGTGACCTTTCATCGCTATCACACAACATACGTGGTCTCTGAGTTGTCAACGGCATCAATTTGTATCCTTCGATCCGATCTTGGTAAAACAAGCCGGAACGGCGAATACATTTTGTACAGAGGGGATTCATGTAGGAAGCGTTCTAAATGGAGCCACCAACAATGAAAGAGGCGCTCGAATGCAAGACGCCAAGAAAGAGGCGTTCTAAAAAGGCAAAATAATAAGAAGGCAAAGGCTAAAGGTGTGCTACTAATAAGTGTTTTTAATCGTTACACCCATTATTTATTCACAACTGGCAAACTGATGGACTTAGTCTAATTCTAAACACTCATACATACAAAATATGGATGATTGATAAAGTATTAAAAAAATTGAAATTAATAGGAGTTCTGATTAACAATTTAGACTGAAAACAAAAAAATTTTATTGATGAAATTTTATTTTTAATTAATGATTATTAAACAGATGAACAAACTAAATTTGTATTTTGCAAATATCGAAAAATTTATAAGTAACTTATAAGTAAATTAAAAAATATTTGTGTTTTTCTATCAATTTTAAATATTAACAATTTATACTTTTATTCCAAAATTCCCTATTTAATGAAAAGTAACTTAAATATTTTAATTTTTTTTAATTTTTATATAGTAAATTAGTATTTCAATTTATTTTCAGGATTCTTCTTTTCAGTTGCATTTGAAAGTGAACCATTAGCTATGGCATATTTAATTCCATTTGATTCCTTATTAATGATTACTATGGGAGCTTTTGTCAAATTTAGGTAAATATAATGTATATATATATATATATATATATATATATATATATATATATATATATATAAGATTTATATTAAAAATTAAAAATATTTTATTTAACTACACATAATCAATACATTGTAGAATTGTGTAAATTTTATTTAATCTTAATGTATAATTAATCCGAGCATAATCCGAATATACAAAACTTACGCTAAATTTCGAATTATATGCCTTTATAAAACATTTAATGAAAGAACAACAAATCTATGATGATATTACACGAGTTGTGATGTTTTACACAAAATTGAACTCGATAACTATTTAGTAGAAAAGATGAATTCAATAATTCCTGCTTTAAGAATTTAGAAACTTCATTCAAATCTATAATTTCTGAAAAAGAGGAGCATTATTAATATTTATAGTTCTGGACATTTTAAAACTGGAAAAGAATTCTTATTTTTGCATATTAAAGTCTTATAATATTTTGTAATATTTGTGTTCTAATTTTATATTACTGATAGAGATTTTGGGATAGATTCAAAAGAATTTTAAATTAAATAGATCAATGTATTTTTCGTAACTGTTTTCAGATAGTCGTAGTCGATAAAATACCTTTATTTATAGTTCTTTTTTTCAAAAAGAAGTCTTCTAGTTTCAAAACTATGAGAGAATTTTAAAAGCTGATTATACTATTCGGCTATAGGCTCCTTTAGTACTTTAGTAACTTACATTTATTGTTTCTATATGATGCCAATACCGACCCCAGATAGATAACAGTGGCTATTTCCGGTAGAAAAATCATTAGCAACTAAACAATAAATGTAATTATATTTTATGTAACAAATTTTTGAACTACGAAATTATATCAATTATATAAATATAGAAAGAATCATACTGGTCGAAATTAGAGCATTTTCCAAGAGCAAGTTTGATTAGCGGATTCTGAAATGTGGCTTGACTATTGTGTAGTGAAATTGCTTACTGGTTGAGCAATTACGTACGTGTATATCTACAGTGAATGATGACTGTAGAAAGAAGCTTGAAGATTGATAGTGAACTGCTGTGTTACTGCATAATCGTTATTACGCTAAGCTAAGACAAAGACTGACTGGTAGCACGTGCAATCCTTAAGTATTTTCGTAGTAATCTTTAGCACGCGGTAGCGATCCGGTGTCTGTTACTATGTCGGTATTTATCGTGACGTCAATAAGCATAGTTTTTGTGAGTTTCATTGTTATAATTCTTCGAAATTCTAGTCCTATATTCGGGTTTTCGGCGTGAAATATTACTCGAGTTCATTGGCTAGTGTTTATAAACAACCAGTCGCGCGCTCATACCTCTCCCATTTTGTATTCTGCTTTCAACTGAGGACCCTTCATCTAGTCAAGTCCCAGAGAAGGGAGAAGCAACCAGGGAGAGGCGGCCAATAGTAAAGTCTCCCCACATTCCGACACTTTCCCGATGAGAATATTCGGGACTGAGCCCGGAAGGAAGTGGAAATGAACGCGTGCATAATTCATCGTGCTGCCCAAGGTCAACTTCTGATTGGATGCCGGAAAGCAGAAGGGGTCTCAAGTGGAAGTGGGTCAGTGAACTATTTAAGAAGGACAATGAAATGTACCACCACTTATTCTTCTCCTTATTCTTATTGAACGGATAAGTCACAACTTATTCTCATGGTGGAGAACCAGAGACAAAGTCGTCCAGCTGAGTCTTGTAAACTGTCTTTCTACGACTGTGATTCAGTACACAGTTATTGATAGTATATGTACTGAGATTCTTGTCATCTCAGCAAGGAGACAAGAAAGAAGTTAAGAGCTGCAATTATTGGAAGGGAACTTCTCATCAAGCCTGTGAGGAGGAACTGGGAGCATCACACTACAACTGCAAGTAAGTCCTGACTGTTAGTGATGATTCTTCACCTCACGACTTACTCTGAAAACAGACAGTCGGTAGTCCGACTACAGAAGCTTCCCGCGCATGCTCAAAGGGCAAGACCAGCTGTTGATGTCACACTGGTGGCGTACAGTTCATCATAACCTCTATTTAGGCACATACTCACTTACACGGCTCTTTATTCAAACGCAACTGCATGACGTGTTGAGTTAAAACACGACCAAGATTGTAATGTTCGTTCAGAGCACTACAAAGATCATAACCTCTAAAGTGATAATATTCAATAGATTATAACCAATTTCTTTTCACAGTAAATCATAATCTCACCAGTTGCATGCAGAGAATAAGGAATTAATCATCCTCTAGTTCTCCAATGAAGGTATATCTTAACATCACACGATTATTAAGAAATATAAAGGTCATTGTAATCTCATCATGATTAATCATCCCAACTTGGAAATAAATTGAAATAAATGGAATAAACAACAGTAAAAATTCTATGTGTTACTTATTGAATCAGTGCATTAACCCTTCAATTGCCCACGCATTCTCCGATACAACATCTAGTGGTTTTTTCTAAGTTAATTCTACACGTTTGGCTGACGAATCTAATTAGTCGAATTAATTTTTTGAACAAACACGTATACCTTATTGCTAGCTAATTAAACTGCCGTGCAGATATTTAAGAGCAACACGTTTAAAGGAAGCACATCACGGTACGGCGCTCATTGTAATTAAGTCATTCGGCCAGGGTTTACATAATCTAGTCAATTAGTAACTCTGTAACATTGAAACCATTATAAGTAATACACGTTCAATTCTCAAGTGCACAACAATTAACAAGCAGTCAAGGATGCTGACTTCATTCCAAGACCACATACGACTACAAGAGGCGCATTATCAAGGCATTCATCACAAGATGAGGCAAGGCAACTGCATCGCTATGAATACCACTAGCATCGAATACATAAGTAACAAAAAGCCAACAAGTCCCTTCCAGTAGTGCGTCTAGCACAAGGCCAATAAGACCATTCCAGTGAAGAGACCTCAACAAGCTACCATCACGAGGCACTATACGAAGAAGTACCAGAGATTTACGACCTCTTATTTGTCAGTGTAGTAATTTATCACCAAGCACACTATATGAAGAGGATTAGACTATGACTTATGGGGTAAAGAAGTGCGGGTGTTCAGGATTGAACTACCCAACAATAAAAAATTTACGTACACATACACTGAAAGTAAGAGATTGTAAATCTCTGGTACTTCTTCGTGTAATGCCCGTGACACTCGCGCCGTCAAAATGCCCTTGTAGCGGGTGTTTTTCTCGTACACCTGCATCAGTTTGCGGTAGCTTTGCAATCGTATAAAGCCTATCTCGGCGGGTGCACTTGCACTTTCAATACCTTACGAGGCTGGCGCGTACATGTTTTCAATATTTGCCGTACGAGGCCGGACCATTGGCGCTTTCAATATATAGCTTTTCTTTCAATTAAATTCTTAGAAATTTCTTTGTTTTACCTAATTATGTTACAAGTGCACAGGTGTACGCTTCTTATTTCGTAATCACTCTTGAAATACAATCAGCACTCTTGACTGATTGAACTGCGGCGCACTTAAATATTTGTTAAATGTATTGGCTTCACTGTAGGCTTACTAGCGTATTATTGCAGAGTCTGGCTGAATTATGTGCGTCTATTCAGTAAAACTGACTGACTAGTTAAAGCGGAGTTTAGTTGCTGTGCACAGTAATAACTGATAACTGATTGATCGAGAAATTAACAGTAAGCTTAGAAGCGTGGCGAGCTGCTCTTAAATATTCGCATGGCAGCTTACAAAGCTGGCAACCATGCATGGGATTGTTGCTAGGCCGAAAGTTTGGTGACGTCAGAGACTAAGCTCTAGAATATTTCAGAAGTCCAGAAGGACATAGCTTCGGAAGGTTCGAGAATTATTAATCGACGTTACTCAAAAGTTAAGGCGTAAAATAATTGACAATTCGCAGAATCAATGTATACAATATAAGCGTCCGACAGCTTTCGCTATTCGTGCTTTAAGTTGTTGAGAATTGATCAAATTCTGTACAACTTATAATATTCATGTATATGTAAAAATTTCGAATTTCGAAATTAAGAATTTCTAATAATGTAACGTTTTATAATTTGTTTGATTTATATAAGAACTCGATTAATTTTATTAAAGAAAATTTGTTTGATTTATATAAGAACTCGATTAATTTTATTAAAGAAAATTTGTTTGATTTATATAAGAACTCGATTAATTTTATTAAAGAAAATTTGTTTGATTTATATAAGAACTCGATTAATTTTATTAAAGAAAAACAATATATGTTTTTATCTCGTCTAATTTAACTAAATATAGTATATTTTTTATATTTTAGTTCTTTACCGATATATATTGATTGGATTAAATATATTTCTTGGCTTTTTCACTCCACAGAAGCTCTTTCAATAGTACAATGGCATACTGTTAAAAATATTAGTAAGTATGAGGTCGTAAGATTTACATGAAATATAATCCCATTTATGTGATTCCATAATATTTATCCAATTAAATTTCCTTATTTAATTGCAAAAATGACATTTAAACGTAAATAAATATTAATTTGTTTATAATGAATCTGATTGATATTAAAAATTTCATCGAAATCTGTAGAATAAATGTTATAATAAATATACGTTTAATTATTTGTTTTAATATAAACAATTTTCAAATTATTATAATGAAATATATAAAAAAATATTAAATTACTTAATAATTATTTAACTTATTCGATAATCATCAACATTATTGAATTAGTTATATATCATAGACAAGAAATGAGAACACGATAATAATTTGTGATAAGATAAAAAAAATTTGTTATTTCATTATTTAAAATGAAAGAAAGTTAAAGAAAATTAAAAAAAAATTTAAATATGAAAAGACCACAGAATTTATATAATTTACATTTCTTTTATTTACGGTTTATAAAATATAAATATATAATGTATACTAATTTCACTATGATTATATAGCATTACGATACCTACTTTATCCAATTTTTATTCTATTTGCATTACATTGGCTATGGTATATATGTAGGAAACCGAACTACATTTAAAAGAAAAAATTATATATTTATTGTCCGAGTTTGCGAGTACCTTTTCCTATGCCATAAAACAAATGGCAAAACAACATGGTTAAATTATCCTTAGACTTCCGAAAAGTCCTGCCCATAAAACATCTGGCAGTAGTGTCATTAAACATCTGGCAAAACAAGTCATAAGACTCGGGAAAACCTAACTAATTAGGCAGCCGCAAGGAATCGTTATGCACAAAAATCTAAAATCTAACGGTATATACTGCCCCCCCCCCTTTGGCGTCAAGTTGTTATGCGATCGTCAGACGCGTCAATAGCATCAAACTTGAGAGTTCATCTTGCCGTGAAGATCAAGAAAAGACTAAGCTTCGTAATTGAAGACGAAGCCACAAGAGGCGCTGCCCTCACTCTGTGAATGGAAAACTCTCTGATTGGACACAAAAAAGGGAAGGGATCCCAAGTGAAAATCATGGTCTGTCAATTTCAAGATTCAATCACTTTCCATAAACTCCTTATTCAAATAGGAAGTGGCAAGTCCCTCAACAAAGTCCGAAGACAATCTTTCGTTGAAGTCTTCACGGAAAAGGGATGTGTTACGGATTGAACAGTTAAAAGCTGAATATAAAAGTGAGAGAGGTATAAGCGCGCGAACGATTATTTATAAACACTAGCTAACGAACTCGAATAATATTTCTACATCGAAAACCCGAATATAGGACTAGAATTACGAAGAATTATAACAATGAAACTCACAAAAACCATGTTTATTGACGTCACGACAAATACCGGCATAGTAACAGACACCGGATCGCTACCGGCGCCTAAAAATGACTACGAGAATACTTAAGGACTGTGCGTGCCACGCGCCTGTCAGTCTTTGTCTCAGCTTAGCGTAATAACGATTACGCAATAACACAGCAGCTCACTATTCAATCTTCAAGCTTCTTTCTACAGTCATCATTCACTGTAGATATACACGTACGTAATTGCTCAACCAGTAAGCAATTTGACTACACAATAGTGAAGCACATTTCAGAATCCGCTAATCAAACTTAACGAATAACGCGATAGTGCTAACTTAATCAAAAATTAAATTATCGAATCATACTACATATATTAAGCAACACAGTCTCACTTAGGCAGCAGCGGTACAACAGCGGCGGCTTACACGCATACTACTACAGCGGCACTTCTCGGAAGGGAAGGAGTCACTCATCACAATACGGAGAGTACATACACTCTCCTCAGATCGTAACACTACTACATTATTATATTTAATAAAGGAAAGAAAGGTAACACTGCATGTAGTATTGAATAATTGCATTGCCCCTTCCACTTGCCAGCAACACGTCCACCCAACAACTAAGGAGGTTTTTAGTCTGATCCCAGACAGGATGTAAGAAATTGCCTTATCGAAGTCCGAAGACAAGTACTAATTGATGTTCTCATTGAAGAAAAAAGCAATAAAGTCTCTCAACTGAGTCCAAGATTAGTCTTCGTTTGTAGTATTATCTACTTTAGGCATTATAGCCATCATCTAAGATTCAGAGTCTAAGAAATCAGGTAATCGAGCATACATAAAGGATTGAGGCCATCTCACAGGTACATTTAAAATTATCTTAATTAATTCTATTGTTGGTCCTCAAGGAGAAGCACGTGCCCCATACACATGTAGCACATGTCAACATGTCTTCACGCCATTTGCGCCTACCTTGCCGACCTAACATCTTTCCTAGCTCGAGTGCTACGCTCACGAAGCCAATCATCGCGCCATTCAGCGCTTATAGCAGACACAACACGTGGTATTCTCAATGGAGTGGCAAGAGCTTTACAATCTCTTACTTCCCACGGAAAGCAACTGTGCACTACGCTTAGAAAAGCAAAGTAGTATATCCAATTACTTTTGCGCTTGCTACGGTCAGAAGTGTAATCTCTTAGACTCAATTTTAGCGCCATTAAGCCCACCTTGTCGACTTTAATCTGGACAAAGTACGTACCATACGCAAGGAGCGTGTGTCGACAAGTCAATCTTCGCGCCATTCAATGCTCATAGCTGAACCAATACACGGCTCTACTCGAAGAAGTGGTAAGATTTTATAACTAATCACCTCCGAGGGAATAGCATCAGTGTACTACGCCAAGAGAAGCAAAATACTACATCCGATTACATTTCACAGACTATCGCTTAATGGCTTTCAGACACATCTGTAGAAGAAGTCGCAAGCATAAAGGAATTAGTAGACGATTTACACAAGATCTTCACCAAAGAGCAAAACTATCTTGAGTTAGCATGGTCAACAACAATAGAATCCTAAGAGTATCTAACAAATAATGTTCAAGGAGAAGAGTTGAAGATTCAAGATTTATTCAACAACAAAAAATACAGCGACGTGCAAAAACTCTATTATCTACGAAAATCACTGGCGGGTGCCTCAACTAAGGCTGTGACACGCTTCCAATTACAACATGATTTGCTTGCACTGTCATAGCAAGCTCTATCAGAGAGATATGAGGACACTCGCAGAATAATACAATATCATCTTTGTGAACTCCATTCAGATTCACCACCATTGAAAGATGATTCACAAGAAATAGAAGATGCAGTCAGTGAATGTAGTGATTTATTAACGAAACTACGTTGTCGTATCTTATACCGTATTGTAATACCCTGAAACACAAAAAGCAGCCAGCAACTTCTAGTCGACCAAGTTTCCAAACATTAATTGATTGATGCAATAAGCCCTCCAGAAGCTTCAAACCATACCGCACAATGCATATGCTGCCATGATGATCATGTATTGAGGTCATGCCAAAAGTTCATGGAATCACCAGTACCGGAAAGAATGGCTTTTATATCTAATAGGAGGCTATGTATCAATTGCTTACACTATCACCCAAAACATCGGTGCAAGAGCAACAGCACTTGCAGAAAGGGTAAAGGGCGATATCATATATTATTACTACATGACGATGGTAAGTCAAAGGTAACCCATAAAAAACACAGCTCATTGCCCACCACCATATGACGAGAAGGTGCAATCGTCATTCCATTAAAACCACTAAGGTTAACTACTCTGTTGGCCACTGCCATGGCTAAAATAAACTCACCATCGACCACAGTACAAGCTCCATTCCTAATTGACAATGGCTCTGAAGTTACGTTCACAACAGAAGATCTCGTGAAGAAACTCAAATTACCACGTCAACGTTCTGTCATTACCATTCATGGAATTGGAGGATCGATCTCAACACAGGCTAAAGGTACTGTATCTTTCACACTTCAATCAAATCATTTTAATCCATTAGTTACAGTTCTAGCTCACGTACTCAAATCATGGACAACAATGCTTCCGTCATTTAAAATATCAAGACAAGCACGGTCGCATCTGAAAAATCTGAAATACACAGATCCAGAATATTTTACATCAAGATCTGTAGATATTGTTCTTGGAGCATTTATCATTTATATATAAATATATATATATATATATATATATATATATCATTTACATCAAATTGAATACATATAATGAATACATAATGATCATTTACATTTTGTTTCTATCTAAAATAGTTATTTTTAATTATTTAATTTTTCTTTTCTAATTATTTATTATATCTATTTCTTTTTCCTAAAATTAAAAAACAGATACAAGTATTTTATGATAATATAAAACTTTTCGAAGCCATTTGTTTATATATTTTTAAAGTTCTTGTGCAGAATATAGATAAATAACAAAATTGAATATTGCCCATTTGTTTAGTAACAAATGATTAAGTACATATTAATTTTTTTAGTAGTATGTTACCGTTTATATAAATCGCCAATTGTTCGAAATTGCAAGAACCCTTCCCGAGTCATTAGACATCTGGCAAACCCAAGTCATTAGACATCTGGCAAACCCAGATACTTAGACATCTAGAAATAGTTGTTACACCCAAAAATTAAAAGAAGCGCTCTGATTGGAGATACCAAGATAAGGGCGTCCCTGAGTGGGACGCCGTGGTGAGCGGAGCACTCTTAAGGTAGATGATCTCAAGCGGATGCACTGTCTTACAAGGAACACAGCAGAGAGCAGATGCTCTCTCTTACAGGGGATGACGTAGAAAACGGTCTGTCTTAACAGGAAGAAGTCACTCATCATTGGAGTCTTCAAGGAAGAAGGAAGAAGGAACCTCCCTCGGCAGAATCGGCAGTCAAGTCTCTTTGTACCACCGCATAGCAGCTTAAGGTGCCATAGTCACATTTCTCTGGGTAGAGTTTCTCAAGGATTCAGTGTCACCACGAACTCCTTCAAAGATCCAGTGCCAACACGCATTTTCTTAACAGAGCCGCTACGGAAGGTACACGCAACAGTTTTACAAATCTACTCACTGCATAGTGCCCAAAAACACGAAG